TTATCCGGGGTCCTGGCGTGGCCCCCTCCCCTGGGTTGGTCCCGGACACCCGCTAGGAAATACGGGCCATTTCTCTTTGTTGCTTTCGGTTTTCCTTAGCCTGGAACTCCCTGTCCTCCTTTCTCAATTTCTCCTGGGCCTCCCTGTCTTCCTTTCTCGCCTTTCCTCCCTTTCTTCTGGAGTTTCCCTCTGCTCTGCTTGTAGCATTTCCCTAATGGTCATTTCCCCTAAGTTTTCCTGTTTATTGAGTTTTCTCCTAATGTCTGGAGCTGCCTGATTAATGAATGAGAGCACCACAGCAGACCGGTGGAGCTCCTCCTCAGGGTCAATAGGGGTGTACCCGTAGAGGCGCTCTAAGAAACCGGCCGGGCTTTCGTTTTCCCCTTGGACGACTGCTTTTACTTTTGCAAAGTTGGTGGGCCTTCTAGCGGCCGCTCGGAGACCGGCCATAAGAGTCTGGCGGTAGATTCGAGACGCTCCCTACCTTCTGCGGTCCCGAAATCCCAATCAGGGCGGCGTAGGGGGAAGGCCTCGTCTATGGCTGGTTGGAGGGTTGTGGGTCTCCCATTATCCCCCAAGACGTTTTTTCTTGCTTCATTGAGGATGCGCTCTCGTTCCTCCGTCGTAAAAAGGGTATTGAGCAGCTGATGACAGTCATCCCAAGTGGGACGGTGTGTATGCATGATGGACTCCAGGAGATCTATGAGACACTTGGGGTCTTCCGAAAAGGGCGGGTTCTGCGTCCTCCAGTTATATAGATCACTGGAGGAAGGGCCAGTACTGAAACTGTTGCCCCCTCCCGGTCCCCCTTGGCCTACCATCCGGACTGGAAGTGTAGGGACAGTTTCCTCCCCCTGTGTTGATGAGGGGGCCCGTCTTCCCCTCCCTTTCCGATCCCTCGGGGCGAAGTCTTCGACCCATTCCTCCTCCTGCTGCCAGTCCTGTTGAGGAGGATGAGGAAATTTCCTCCTCCGGGGCACTGGCTTGGCCAGGGGGAGTCACGTATGGAGGCGGCCGATCTTCCTCTGCCCCTGCGAGGGATGGGTAAAGGGGGGAACTCTCTGGTAAGACCGGAGATGGTAAGGGAGGTGCCCTATTTGAGGACCGGTCAGGTGGGAAGAGGAAGTTTTCCTCCTCCTTTATGACCAAGGCGGGCGTGACTGGGGTTTTAGCCCCGGGGCCGAACTGGAGGGGTGAGTCAGAAAAGCTGTTAACCAAGGGGGAGGGTTCCTCGCCAGATCCTCCCAAACCAAATGTAAGGACTTGGTCTGGATGGCCTCGATTGCCTGGCTGAAAAATGACTGCTTTAACCTTAGTGATCAGTCTAGGGAGAGGGAACCTTGAATGGGCCACCCGACTCCGAAGGTGGGCCACTCTGCAGAGCAAAAGGTGTTGAACTTACCTTTCTTGATGACCTTTCTTTAACTTCTGAAAAGTGAGAAAGGATCAAAGACTTTGGGGTTGTTTGTCCCTGTCCCATTGTGGAAGGAGAATCAAACACCAAGAGAGATAGAACAAAAAGGGTAAAGGCAACAAATAATTCCACACACACACAACACTCTCCAGCACTCACTCGGACCGGTCCTTCTCTCACACTGGTGCGCATCCCATTCAACCTCCTCACCGTCCGACTTGGATATCAGGCCGAAAGGCGTCCACTTGACGGGTGGTTGGTCGACTAGCTCAATTAGTTCTTCACCTGGCGCCAGGAATTCCTAAAATGCTCGAGCCCAAATGAGAGGAGATCCTCTCCCAGCGGGACCCTGCGGTCCTCCTAATGAAATTCTCAGAATAGAACTCCCTGGGGATTGGCCGAATCCCCGCCGCGGCCCAAACGGAACACTCAAGTTCCTCCAAATGAGGGTCTTGGATCCCCTCCCAACGCCTAGGACTTGGGATCGCCCCTGCTTTCTCGCGGGCAAGTTCTGTCTCTCGAGAAAATGGAATCTCAGTGGGACCTCCAAATGTTAGGAACAGGAATCCTATTCCCCCGAGAGACAGAGAGCCAGGCGTGAATGCAATCAACAAAGCAGAGTTTATTGGGCTGGCTAGCCAGGGTCGAGCTCCCACACGGACACGCAGGACCGGTTAGGAAAACACGACCCTGAGCCTCTTTAGGGGAAATCTTATATAGACCACTACCTGCCGTTACAGCAAAAGCCCGCGCAGCACTTAACCAATGATTTTGTAATACAGAGTAAAAGGTCAGCAGTTGCGCGTGTATTTTCGTTATCAACATTGAGCAAGCAGGCAGAGCACATCTTGCACGTACATCCCGTCACCTTTCGCAACCTTCTCACATTCCTCACATTCTATATCCCCGAGCCGAGCCCTGCTGCCCTGCTTATCTTATCTACACGGGGCATCTGGTACCGGTTTCTCCAACAGGGGGGTGGGGTCCGTTGAGACATCTCATTCCTTCTTATCCCTTTCAACAGTAGCACACATTAACTTTGCATCTGTTTCTCCATTGCCATGATACTTGGTGGGAATTACTCTGACTTAGGTATTTGGTAGACTTTTAGTTTCAGTTTTTAATGCTGTTGAGAAGATTTGAATGGTTCATTTGCCACCTTGCATATTTTGTTAGATACTTGGAAGAGAATATATCCAGAATAACATTTTTTCTTTTTTCTTTTTTTTTTTTTTGGTCAAATGCAAGTACTAAGTGAGATGGAGAGAGGTATTCTTTTCTATTTTTATTTTTATTTATTTTTGGTGGTGCTGGAATTTGAACTTGGGCTTCATGCTTTACTGCTTGAGCCAGGCTGCCAGCCTAAGAGGTACTCCTATTGAAAAAAAAAAAATTGAGACTTCACAGTTGATGGGTCTTCCCCTTCCCAGAGCCCAACAGGAAATTATGGAGGGCATCAGTGAAGAGAAGTGTGACCCTGAACTCTCACTGCTGACTGTCACCACCTGCTCTCCTTGATAAGTGAGTAACAGTGGTTGGTGAGAAGGAGGAGAAGTCACCATTGAAACTGAAGCAGTACTTCTCATCTTCATCTTCACACTTTTCCTGATTGACAACTTAGATACATCATCTTCCACCTGGGAAGAAGGCTTTTCACCAAAGGATAACTGGCTTGAGGATGGAGCTGGTGCCCAAGCTGGACCACACCTTTGTAGCCTCCTTGGGAGATAGCTGCCCAGTGGGTGGTACCCTGGGAAATACAAAAGAGACACCAGAGCCAGGGCAATCATGCATGCCATGGCCACCAAGAAAATCATTAAAGCTGCTGTAGGTTATAAAGGGACATCGCTCAAAGCTTTATTGATTCTTGAGGAAGACAGAAAATTGTGTTCAAACCTCAGTGGTTGCTATAGCTGAGACTGTGTAGTGGAAGGGGAGCTGTGTGCTGGTTATGATAGACACAGCGCAGAGGGAGTAGCCTTTCGTTTGGACAGGATTCTGGGTTTTTGATGAGCCCCTTTGGAGGTTGGTAGATTTGTAAATGTGTGGACAGACAGCAAGCCTGTTGCCATGGAGTAGCTATTGAGCTATAGGAAACAATACTTGTTTCTATGGGAAGTGCTATTACTGTGGACAGCAATACTGTAGTACACTGATGAATATATATACAGTTGTCCCTTCGTGTCCATCTGTGGGTGGAGGACCCCTCCCCTTGGTTACCAAAATCTGAGGATGCTCAAATCTCTCATGAAATGGTTCAATATTTGCATAGAATCTGTACACATTCTCCCAATGATACTTAAGTCATTTCCAGATGAATTACAGGGCCTAATACAATGCAAATACTATGTTAACAGTTGTTACGTTATATTGCTTAGGAAATAATGACAAGGAAAAAAGTCTTAAGTATTCAGTACAGATGGAACCCACACTCCTACAGTTTTTTTAAAGAGGTGAATTCTTGGTTGTGGAACCCTAAGATTCAGAGGGCTGATTGCATTTGTGTTTCTTCATTCTCCTTGGTTGATGTGACGTTTTTTTTACCCCCCATGGTACTTGGGCTTCAATTCAGGGCCTACACCTTGAACCACTTCATCAGCCCTTTTGCGTGATGGGTTTCTTCAAGATAGGGTCTTGCGAACTATTTGCCCGGGCTGACTTTGAACCAATATCCTCCTGATGGCTGCCTCCTGAGTAGCCAGGATTATAAGCATAAGCCACTGGCACCCGGCTGCTGTGACTGTTGTTAGTTCCATAGTATTGCAGTCACTTGCCCTCACAGTCTCAGCTGTGTTCGATAACTTCCTGTTCCATCCTGCCAATGGGGCAGAGCTGATTCTATCCCTTTCCTCCCCTAGCTAATCTCTGAGCCAAGTCATTGTCACCTCTCTTTCATAACCTCCTCACAGGCTTCTCTGATTGCTGCAGTGAAACCTGTTTTGTTTGTTTTTTTTTTACATGTTTCTGGATGAATCTTTCTGATGGTTCTTTTAAAAACTTGATACTGTCTTGATTCCAATCCTGAATTTGATCAGATGTGTTTTTTCAAATTACTTTCTTACTATACTTACTGACTTATGTGGTCTTATCACTTCTGTGTTCTTTTTTGGGATTGATCTGTGTCTTAAATACATACTGCTTGTTCCCTCAACTGTCTGAAATATGTTCAAATTTTACTTGTTCAAAGAATGTACTCTGAGATGTGTTCCCTTGTCTACCATCTCTTATTCCAAGTCAGGGGATGCACTTGCATTTGAGTGCTGCTCCCAGTTTTGGGAGCCTGTCTTACCTGTCCCCTGGCATTGTAATGCTTTTATAATATTATTTGAGGTGGGAAGATGGATGTGAACATGGATACATCAGAGGCCCTATAGGATTTTTGAGGTTAATGAATCATTGCTTCATTCCATTGGGTTTTAGAAAACCCAAAGCAGTATCAGAATGGTCAGATGGTGGACTGTTGAGTTCCTGCATCACGTAGACAGCAGCATGGTATTTATGGTCATGAAACGTTGCTTTCTTCTTTAACATGATGCCTTGTTTTGTTCTCTTACTCACGTTATGGTTTGTGTTTTCCGTGCCACAGTCAATGCTTCGAGGGAGAGGAGGCTGCTATAAGCACACGTTCTATGGCATCGAGAGCCATCGCTGCATGGAAACCACCCCAAGCTTGGCCTGTGCCAACAAGTGTGTCTTCTGCTGGCGGTGAGTGAAACGCACAGCTGTGGTGACCATGTGGGGACTTCTGCCCTGTGCACACGCAGGCTTGCCCAAATGCACTGCGGTTTCTGTAGTCAATCCGCTTTCTGTCCCTAACTTAATTTTTTTCAGCGGAACTGGAGTTTGAACTCAGTGTCTGCACCTTGAGCCACTCCACCATCCTCTTTTTGTTACGGATTTTTTTTGAGATAGGGCTTGCAAACTATTTGCCTGGGCTGTTTTTGAACCACAGTCCTCCTGATCTTGTCTCCTAAGTAGCTGGGATTATAGGCGTGAGCCACTGGCGCCCAGGTCCTAACTCTGTGTATTTATGTGTTTGGTAGATCAGTTTTGTCAGGAGGTGGTCATGTGTTTAGTGTTTTTGCAGAATTAGATTTTAGGTTATAGATCCTCTCCATAACTTTGTTTTCTAGTTCATGATTCACTACTGTTTTTATTTTTGTTTTTTCATTTTTTTCTGCCTTAAGTTGGACTGTTGGCTCATTAACATTCAGTCTTCTCTAAGTGTTTAATTATAAGTTTACCTCTGAGTACATTTTTAGATTTCAGTTAGCAGCATGTGTATTATTAGTCATTTATAAATATTTACCAATTCCATAACTCATGGCTCAAGCAAATATTTATTTGAAATTTGGGGCTCATATTTTCATTATTCATTTTCAACCGAATTGTTTTTTATTGTTACAGGGCATTGTCTCTATAATACAAATTACATGAAATTTATTGAGAAGTGTTATATTCCTAGTGTGTAGTCACTATTTTAAAACTATTTGTTAATGGAGATTTTGAACATAGGCAGAGAGAGAACAGTACAAAGAGTTTCTGTGCACATGTACTGAGTGCACAATTGTGTTCCATTAGTGTCCCTAAGTTCTCACTATTTTGATGGAAATCCTACCTGTGTTGTTTTATCTGTACAGACTTCAGTTGATAGGTAAATAAGGCCTTTTAAAAACACTATAGCCACAATAGCATCATCTCTTATGAAGTTCTTTCACATATATTTCCTTATGTGGTTATCCAGGGATGTGGTGAACAGCTGAAAAGTCCGTCATTGGGCATCATGTCAAGTCAGTGGTTTTTAACTGGGGGCAGAATTTCTGTTTTTTACCTCAAAGGGAGGCTTGGGAGATTTGACAGTGCCTGGGGACATTTTAGTTACTTACTTTTCCTAGTACTAGGGACTGTACTCAGGGTCTTGTGCTTGCCAGACAGGCGCTTTCTACCACTTGGGCCACACCCCCTGCCCTTTTTGCTTTAGTTGTTTTTCAGACAATGTCTCACAATTTTTGCCAGGGCTCAGCCTCTAATCATGATTCTCCTATATATGCCTCCTGCATAGCTGGAATTACAGGTGTAATTACAGGTTATTAAAACTGAGGAGAGAGTAACTGGGATCTAGTAGGTAGAGGCCAGGGTTGTTGCTCACCATCCTATAATGTTCAGGTCAGCTCTCCACAGCAGAGAATGCTCCAGTCCCACATGTCAGCTGTGCTGTCAGGATAGCCTTTGTGCAGCCACCTAAGAAGGAGTCACTGGAGCATGGCAGCACTGAAGGAAAGTCAGTGACATTTGTTTTTAGGGATAAGAGTTTCAGACATTATAGAGAGAACTTGCAAGGCAAAAACATGCTGGGTCTATGGTGGTGGGAACTGAGGTTGTATATCTCATTATGCTCAGTGTGGGAGGAATAAGCCTTGCTCCATGTCTTTGTTCTCAGCCCTGAGTTTCAGGTTGCTGACGTGAGCACTTGCTTTCTTGTAGGTTATGACTCAGGAGCACTAGAGCTCAGATTAATGCTCTTACCTCCGTTACCTGTATGTACCCAGCAAGTCAGCCCATCAGTTTCTCAAGTAATAAATGCATCCAGATCTTTACAAAGCAAATAATATTTGTGAAAAATTCATGAGTGAGATTTTAGAGTTTTGAGTCGTGGAGATCACTTACTTACCATGGCTTCTGATAGAGATGTCCTCATATACTGACTTTTAAAATTAGAACGGGCCATCTATTTCAGTTAAGGATAATAGAACAAAAATGGCAGAAAAGGCCCAGAAAGAGTTGATTTTAATGCTTACATTAGTGTTTTCTTTTCTTTTAGCAGATTCTTAAAATGTCCTCTGACCCTCAGTTTCCTAACTGTAAAAATCCTTATAGGGTTGCTGTGAGGCTTAATTGGTTAAGGTAGATTGTGAAGATGAATGTGTTTTAAAACTGCAATATCATATATAAAGATGTGAGGTTTTCAAAATGATTTTTTAATCTCGTGATAATATGTGCAGTAGACATACAGATAGATAAAATGCTATTTAGAGGGATTTGTTGGGTATTACACATATATCATGTAAACATATATACATAAAAATACATCCCAGCTTTGCCATTGTGTATCTCTCATTTCTTTTTAAATGAAAATTCTATTCTTTGAAATTTCAAAGTAAGACCCATATTTGTTTTGAACAAAGAACCCAGTCTTAAAAACACGGGCATACGATCTGAATAGTTTTCCAAAGAAGGTACACAAGTGGCCAATAAGTACATGAAAAGATACTCATAATATTTATTTATTTTTGCTAGGACAGAGGTTTGAACTCAGGGCTTTGCACTTTCAAAGCAGGTGCTCTTACCACTTGATCCACATCCCCAGTGATTCATAATATTTGACAAGTGGAAATAGCCCAAATGTATTAACTAGGCAAAGGGTAAACAAAATGTGGTATATCCATACAAAGTACACCCTGAACTTGGGAAGCTAAGGCAGGAAGATCACAAGTTTGAGACCAGCTTGGGTTACATAGCGAGACCCTGTCTCAAAAAAAACAAAGACTGTCTCAAAAAAAACAAAGACTGTGGAAGCAGCTTATGTCTAGCATGAGCAAGCCCTGGGTTCCATCTCCAGCACCACCCTCCCTCCTACCACGAAAAACAAAGAACTCAAGTACTGATTCATGCCAGAGCATCATGGACGTGAAAAACATTACACTAAGTGAAAGAAGCCAGGTCCAAAAGTCCACATAGTATGTGATTGCATTTCTGTGAGATGCCCAGAATAGCAGATTAGCAGTTACCTGGGCAGAAGGGCTGTGGGGATTGAGCACTGTAGGTAACTGCAGAGGGTTTCTTAGGGATGAAGAAAGAATTTAAACTGCATTTGGTGATGGATGCACAACTCCACAAATGTACTAAAAGCCAGTGATGTGAATACTGTAAATGGAGAGTTAGATGGTATGAATTATTAGATGAATTATAACTCAGTAAAATGTTGTCTTTGTTTTACAATACACCAGTTTTTACAATATCATTTAAAGTGTATTTTGAAAGGTCACCCGTGCATGTAGTAAAAAATTGAAGATACACAAAAAGTATGCCTTGAAGTTTTCTCCCTTCCGTTCTTGTGTTATTCTGTCTAGGCTTTCAGAGGTGTTCTTTACACATGCAAACTTGTTTATATGCTTGTATGTTTGAGTATACATATTAAGATTGGTGTCAATCTCAGGATATTTTGCAGTTATCTGTACTTAGAGAGTTTTTTTTTTTTTGTTCTCTGCTTCAAATTGGTCTCATACTTAAATGTGTAAAAATTTTTTTTCGAGGTAGATTTTTAATTCAAACTAAATAATTACTTAGAAAGCAGAAGAGAAATGTGTAAAGGGCTTTTTCTTTTTAAGTTACTTACTAAGGTGTGTTCATTCTTTCTACAAGTCTTTCCCCCTTCTCTGTTTCTAGTAGAGTTACAGTTTTGCTGCACAGCAGTGTTTTAATCTTGGTACAGATCCTTGCTTGAACTTTCTTCATTGACATATCTGATGATCTGTTTTTCCTATTGAGAGCACAGTCTGATTTGGATCAACTTCAGCCCTATTTAATCCTTCTGCTACTATCGTGTTAAAGTGATATCTTTGTCTCCCAAGGAATTTTTCGTGAATGCACTTTGTATTTTCTTTTATGGTGAATGAACTTAAACTGACCTCCTCCCTCAAGTACTGATGTGCTCTCTTGCTCTGATAGAAGCTGCATAACAAATAGGAATTTAAAAAAAGCAAAATGACAACAATAAAAAAACCTTTTAAGCCTTTTCTGTTAAAGGACTGATGATTGGGCATTGCATACATATGTGTGGAGATAAAAATCAAAGAAAATTGAAAATGGTACAGGTTTTATTTAAAATTTTATTTTTAATATTCAAAAAGGAAAGAAGGGGACTGGTGGAGTGGCTCAAGTGGTAGAGCACCTGCCTAGAAAGCTTGAAGCCCTGAGCTTAATCTTCTGTACCACCAGAAAAAAAAAAAAAGGGAAGAGAGAGCAAACAGTATTAATTGAAATGAAGGAAGGTATATATACATTTATATGTTACAAAAGATTGTTAAGGAATATTGGAAAAGTTGGGAAAAGTGGGTAATTTGGACTTTCAAAAGTGATTCAAGAGCATCGGCTGGACCAGCCCTGTGTTGAGTCGGTGTTTGCAAACTGTACCTGACATGAGGCCTACACGGTTTTATAACTAAGTTCTAGCAGACATTCAATTCATGGGAAAGGAATTCGCCAAAGAGGACAGAAAGAGGGAATGGTTCCCAACTCATTGTAGGAACTAATATAACCCAGAGAGGAGTAACATGAAAAATAAAAATTGCAGGGCTGTGTGGCTCATGAGCCTGGGTGTGAGTCTTAAACGGCACTAAAATACTGGTCCAGAACTGAGTAACAATGACAGAGAATCATGACCAAGATAACTTATTCTTGCAGAGGCTATTTTAATTGCTATTACAGCTGGCTGTGTGATTCATTGTAATGTAGAAAGTGTTTGCATATTTGATTTGTTTTGGATTTTTTTGTTCTCTTTTTGTTTTGTGGCACTGGGGTTTGAACTCAGGTCTCATGCTTGCTAGGCAGGCGCTTTACTGCTTGAGCTACTTCACCAGCATAATGTGTTTGCATATTTGATTAAATATTTTAATCAAATAAATAATGTTTCCATCAGTGTTTAATGTCTGTCTGTCTGTCTATTTATTGGTTCTGGGGATTGAAGTCCGGATCTTATGCATGCTGGACAAGTGCTCTTCCACTGAGTATACTCCCCAGCCTTTTTACTTGTTTGTTTGAGACAATCCTGGTTTTTTGTGGTCTTGACACTTGGGAATACTGGTCAGGTATTTCATACAAAGTTCCTCAGTTTCTGTTTGGTGTGTTTTCATGATTAGATTGGGATAATGATGTTTTGTATGACATATAGTCCTTTTAGTGCATCATATTAGAAGGCACATGGTGTCAATTTGTTATACTCCTTTGTTATTTTGATGCACAGGATAGCCTTGTTTTTGTTCTTGAGATAGGCTCTTGCTGTGTAGCCTAGTCTGGCTTGGAACACATGATCCCGTTGCCTCAGCCTCCTGAGTCTGGGATTATAGGAGTGTACCACAATGCCTGGCTGTCACCACAATTTATTGAAAAGATTACCTTTTTCTATTGAATTGTCTTGTACTTGTCAAAAATCTATTGATAGATGTGTGGGTCTGTTACTGGATTCTTATTCTGTCTGTTGATGTGTGTGTCTCTGTTGGTCAGTACTGCACTGTCTATGTGACTACAGTTTTAAAAGTACTTTTGAAGTTAGGTGTTGTGGGTTCTCCATATTGATTTTCCTTTTTCAAAATTGTTCTAGGCATTCTGGTTTCCTTGCCTTAATATAAAATTTTACAATCATCTTGTCATTATGTATTAGTAAGCCTGCTCAGATTTCTACTGGAATTTCATTGATCTGTAGAGCTCAACAGTATTGAGTCTTGCAGTCCACGGGTATAGAATGCTTCTCTGTTTTCTAGGACTTTGATTGCTTTTATCAGTTGCCTACAGTTTTCATCACACAAATCTAGTACATTTTTCACCCTTATATTTTTTGTTGCTATTGTTAAATAACACTTTTAATTCCAAATTAAAAATTTTCATTGTTAGTGTATAAAGACAATTGATTTTTTTTATATATTGAGTATGTATATTATGCATTTGCTAAGCTATCTTATGAGTACTTATTAGTTCTGGTATTTTTTTAAATAAATTATTTTGAATTTTCTATGTAGACAATTGTATCTTTGGTGAAGAGAGATAACTTTATTTTTTTCCTCCCCACCTGTTTCACTGACTAGCACGACTAGGAGTGGCAAGAGAGGACACTGTTAGCGTGGTTCTGATGTAAGAGGGGAAGTGGTTCATTGTTCCACCACTGTGCTTGGTGTTGACTGTAGGTTTTTGGATGGTCATCTTTATGAGGTTAAGGAAATTAACCATGGTTTACTGAGAGGTTTTGGTCGTGAGTGGGTATTGAATTTTGTTAGATTCTTGTCTGTCTGAGATACATATTCTTCTTCTTGAGTTCTGTTAAAATGGTAAAATATAGTGATTGATTTTTGAATGCTGAACCAGCCTTGTGTTTCCGGGATAACACTACTTGGTTGTGGTACCTTTTTCTTTTCATCTGTTGCTGCATTCGGTTGGCTAGATTGATTGACTTTCGGATTTTTATGTCTCTGTTCACGGGGGTATGTTGGTTCATAGTTTTCACGTAATGTCTTTGATTTTGGATTAGACTAATAGTGGGTCTGGTGTTGAAGGCTAGTCTACCAATCTGTCTTTTAATTGGCTCATCCAACAAAACACAATAGGCCGGGTGTTGGCTATTCATGTTGACTTCTCTGTTTTTTTTATTTTAACATAAGAGATCATCAGGTAATCTGAGTGAATTTTATAATTCTCCAAAAGGATAACACAGAGTGCAGGTTTTCTCAGAACTGCACGTCCCTCTGTTGTTGTAGTGTCTTTGAGAACACATCATGGGAGGTGCTGGAGTTAGTATGCAGTATCCCTTCAGGGAGGACTGTGAGGGGCAGACCTTCCCAGTGAGTGGAGAAAGGGCCTTATGGTGGAACCTGTCAGCCACAGGGTGTGAAAGGAGAGTTGCAGGAGGTGCACCAGGTTCTGTTCAAGCTCACTGATTGAGGATATGACCTTGCTCGTTCTATTGATCACAGCACATAGGTTGTTGTGGTTGTGGCTGTGGCTGTGGCTGTGGCCAGTTTTCTCCTCCTGAACAGCATGAAGTGAATGTCCACCTGCATGATCCCTATCCTCACTGTTCCATGAGGTACAGAGACGAGGAACTTCCCTTCTCAGGCCTGCACCAAGCCTTGCTGTTCCTTAGACCCTCTTGGCCTGGCTTCTAGCATAAGTAGTCCAGCTTTCTGGCATGGATCATAAAGTGATGAAGGAGTGGGTGACAGCATGCTGGCGACAGGTTGCCTGGTTGTGTCTGTATGTAGTTAGCATAATTAAAAGGAGGAAAGTGTGTCCATCAGCCTGAGGTCGGCTCAGCAGCCAGGAATTGGGCAGACATGTCAGTGACTTCTCTATCTATAGCCTCTCTGCTAGGTGTCATGATGTGTGATAAGTGAAAATATTGCTGTAAACAGATGTCTGTTAGGATGAAACCTTATAATTTTATGGACTACCTATAGTATACACCTAGTTAGGACCTGAGAAATTTGCGTTTTGTTCCTAGGCACCACACCAATCCCGTGGGCACGGAATGGCGGTGGAAGATGGACCAGCCTGAAATGATCTTAAAGGAAGCCATCAAACACCATCAGAACATGATCAGACAGTTTAAAGGTATTTGTCTTTTCTCTACAAAGGAGTGCTGATGTTTACTCATAGTCTGATCAGATTGGTGGAGGAATTACCTCTTTGATGAGATTTTGTCTCCATGAGGAACTTTTCCCAATAGGGAAGCAAAAATGTCCCTATTTCTATATCATAGGGTGTGTGTGTGTGTGTTAAGAAGGAAAATGTGTATGTGTTTTTGTATTAAGAAAGAGATTGATTCACTTTAGGGAGTTGGCTCACACAATTATGGAGGCCTGGTAAGTCTAAAATCTAATAGGTTTGACAGGTAGGTTGGAGACTTATGGAGAGTGACAGTTCAAGTCCAAAGGCCATTGTTGGCGGAATCCCTGCTTGCTCAGAGGAGGCCAGTGTTTGTTCTATCATAGATAGTGAAATAAATATCTTGACCTTTTTTAATATATTTTATAAATAGAAGAACTAAAAATTTAATCCAAAGCAACTTATAATGTGGTACACTCAGTGTGTGAGTTTTTCCTGGAAATGTCTCTCCATCTTTCTCAAAACCTTTGTTGTTCTGATGTGGGTAGCACAGAGCGGCTTATGAATGAATTGGAAAGTTTAGGTCATCAGGAAGTTCTTAGGTAATGTCAGTCAGATAGTATTGGGAAAGCATTCTGGAATGGATGCCTTTTGAAAGAGGGATACTAATAAAAATTTCTTTCGTGTACTCCATTGTCAGCTCACTGTTTCTCCAGTCATGGTGGGGGAGGGCGTTAGAACTGCTGCTGGAGATGGGTTCAGGGAGTCTGAGGTGAGCATGCCCTTGAATGCACATTTCTTACAAATTTCCAGGTGTTGATGCTGTCGAGCTGGGGACCACATGTTGACAACCCACTGTAGATAGAAGTGGTGGACATACCGAGTGATGGCTTTATAAAGTGGCAGTGTAAATGATGAATTGAAACTGGTTAGGGTCCCTGATCAGTCTGTGTGCTGTGTCTCCCCTTCGTTGGTTCCTCCTCTCCTATGTTCTCTATCACATGCAGCAGTAAAAATTCCACCAAAGGTGTTGAGGTATCTTATGGTGTTAACAGCACTATGGAGTCCTTATAAACCCTAGTGATTACCATTTGGAAGATCTGGTGATTCTTGGGGCTGGAGGTGTGGTTCAAGTGGTAGAGTACCTGTGTAGCAAGGGCAAGGCCCAGAGTTCAAACCCCAGTACTATGTGGGGGGTGAGGGGGAGATAATTTCTGGTGATTCTTTTAAGCAATAAAATTTGTTCTGTCTGGTTACTCATTTTTAAGTTTATATACTTATTATTACTGCTCTTCTTATGAGATAAAGTATTAAAAGTAATGAAAAAATGGCTTAAGATTTATAATTATAAAATACAATAATTAAAGTTTTATATTCTTTTTTATGAATTTTATAGGGTAAGTTGACCTGTACAAATTTATGGGCTCAGTTTTTTACATTTGCATAGAGGCTAATAATTGTTGTAATTTCTCACCTTGACTTTTAGTCTTTTTTTTTTTTTTTTTTTTTTCCAGCAGGACTGGGGCTTGAACTCAGGGCCTCACATTTGCTAGGCAGATGCTTTACCACTGAGCCACTGTACCAGCCCTGACTTTTAGTCTTAAGCACTTTTTTTTTGGCGAGGAGGAAGAAAGATTACTTTTTTTTGTTTAGACAGTCTCTTACCAGACATTGGGAAAAGTAAATGAAACTGCTGGTGAAAAACTTCGGACCCCACATCTGGAATTTAACCAGCTTTTCTTACACTTTTTAAAAATTACATTATTGTTGTACTGGGGGTATATTGTGACATTTATAAAACTGCTTATAATATATCTTAGTTAAATTCACTCCTTCTATCATTCTCCTTTACCTCCCTCCCCTGGCTTTTCTTATACTTTGTTGTGACTTCAGTTAACATTTTTGCTGACCCTCAAAAAGCTGTATCTCTTACTAAGCTTCAAGGCAAAGTCTTACTTTCTTTTGGATAGTATATTAGTCAGGAGAAACAACTAACTCTGGGGGTATGTATATGTGTGTCAGTTTGTCTGTGTAGATTAAGGATGAGACTGATTATTCATTTCAAGGAATAGACTTAGAAAAGTCGTGGGGGCTGAGTGAGTGCAAAATCTAATAGTGTTGATGGGTAAGTTGGAGACTCAGGACAGAGTGACAGTTCAGGTCCAAAGCCCACTGCTGGCAGAATCCCTTCTTGCTCAGAGGAGACCAGTCTTTGCTCTTTTTTTTTTTTTTTTTTTTAGTTGAACTGCATCTTCTTTATTTTGCGTACTTTAATTTCAGAGCAAAATAAACAAAAACACATTGCACAGCACCCAACTCAGTCTTTGTTCTTTTAAGGCCTTCACCTGATGGATAAGCTCTCTATGCATTATGGAGGGTAGTACACTTTTCTTAAAGCCCACCAGCTTCAGTGTCAATCTCACAGAAACATTGGAATAATGTTTGCTGGCCTATCCAAGCTGACACGTGACGTTAACAGTTGCAGATGGTCATATCAGGAGCAGGATGTCACGAATTTTATCTTTATATTCAAACAAGTTTTCATTTGGTTCAGTGCTTAAAGAGCCTTGATTAATGGACTGGTAACTAAGGTTGTGTATTTCCTGGGCTTGCACCCTGAATCTCCTAGAATGAGCTGTAGCTGTGTCAGGTAGATGGTGTGGGAGAAGCTGCCCTGGGCAGCAGACATTCACTTGAGTAGAGGTTTTGTGGACAGACCTCCTCTCTGAGATGTTGGTGACACAGAATGGGAATGTGAGTTTCTGTGGTAATTTTTCTGACAGGAGCATTTTTGCAAATGCATTTCAAATGGAAATAAGGCATGAATAAATCATGAAGCAGGCATTGCTCACTTAGCAAGGTGTGTTGGGTGAGCAGAGTGAGCATGCATTCCTGGTTGTCTGCAGGGTCCTTGGAGGGCTTGTCTGCTCCGAGCCATGGACATGCTTTAGTCCATGACATCCCAGAAGCTTTGTCTTCCTGTTCCCATCGCAGGACAACCAAGCAAGAGAGGTGTTTTTGTTTTGCCTTGGATTTTGGTTACTGTAGCACAGCTGGCCTCAAACTCACAATCCTCAGGCCTCAGCCTCCCCAGTGGTAAGATTACAGATGTGCGCCACCACACCCAGCACAAAAATCCTAATTATTGAAGAGTGAAATGCGTAATTATTAAAGGATGAAATGCTTACTAGTATAACTAGTATACTTACAGTGTGAGTAGTGTACTCAGTTACTTATACTTGCTTTCCCAATAGTTACAGCTTTTGATGCACGTGAGTTCTCCTTGCAGTAAATGAAATCTCTGTGCTCTCTCTTTGATTCATCCTCAGGGTCAGGGATAAATAAAACAGGCAACTTCAGAGTAAGGAAGGTGAGGCTCATGTGTATGGATGGCAGAACAGTCTCCTCCTCTTCTGAGCCCAGTGTACTCAGCTGGGTGCAGGTCTGACACACATCCTACTCTTGAACTCTGAAGATGCAGCTGAAGATGAGAACTCTAGATCTCATTTGGCCCCCAGGAGGCTCCCTTCCCTAGCTTCCCCAAATATGAACTTCTCCTTGGAGGCTGGCCTTGGAAAAGTGGCTTATCTCATGAAGACAGCTGCCCATTTGCAGATACCCAGCAGGAATCTACTTCTTGTCTTCTGCTGTGTCCATGTGGGAGTTTTCTTTCAGAGCCCTGTGTCTCCTTGTGGCTTACAAAGGAAACAAAAGAGAAAACCAGAAGGAAATGTGTGTTTCTGGCTTCCTTGGTTGGAATTTAGAACACATTTTCCTTCAGGATTAGATGATATTGAAATAGATTTATTAGTATAATTGTTTAGGCATATTACAGATTAACTTGGTGTTTGGAGTTTGGATGGCCATTGATTTCAGTTTTAATTGTAATGTGTCTGTGGGAATATAAATTTTAGGCTTAAACAGAAATGCTTAGAAACATGTTTCTTTTGTATGTTGAAAAATAGGGGCAATTTCCAAAAGTTTGAAGCTATTTCCTTCTGAGTTTGATATATTTTGTTGTCTGCACTTTGGCCTCTCTGTAGAAGTCCTCTCTTTTAACTTGTTAGTAATAGCCTTTGTTCTGGTGTGGAGTCCTTGAGTTTCCTAAGTGCTTTCCCTCAAGGAGAAACACCTGCTCTCTCCCATGGGGCGGTTTCTGTCATTTATGTTTTTTGAGGATGAGGCTAGGGTCCTGTTGTTACTGTCTCTGTGTTTCCAGCTTTCGCCAAGTGGCCAGCCTGAAGCAGATTTTGAAGATACTCTCTGATTTTTTAAATGCTTCGCTTTGTGCTGCTCGCCTCAGTTCTGAAGGCAATCATTGTCTTTTCAGTTACTTCATGGCGTCATTGAAATATCTTTCTTCTTGTGATCTTTATTAGCTTTCCCTTTATGCACATGCAAAATTAACTTTTTATTGATTACAAGTGGGTCAGAATTTCAAAGCAACTCAGCATCTTTGCAAAATGCCTCCTGTCCCCTTCTCAGTTCTGCAGCGAGAAACAGTTCTCAGAGAATCAATTCAGCCAGCACCAAGTGCGTGAGCACACTGTCAGGAATGTCCTTGGTCCTGAAGATGCACAGATGAAAACTACATCTTTGGTTGCTGCGTGTTCTCATAATTACAGCTCAGGATAAAGGGTCTCCAGCAGATGGTTCTTATAAACTAGGTGTGCTCAAGTAGACATCACAAAGAAATGTGGAGGCGGGAAGAGAACACCTGCTTGTTGTTTTCTGAAACTTATTTATGAAAAAATCCTCACAGTGTGAAGTATCTCTGTCAGGTATAGATATGACTTTCACCCGGGAAGGGCTCTTGGGAAGATTTTGGGCCAGAAATTGTATTGTTATAACAAGAAAGAAGAGAAGGTTTTATTTCTGATTAGTCTTAAAGAATAGAGTATTTCTATAGAAATAGGAATGCTGTATGCTGAAAGATATATGGTGCTTCTCTGTCATTTAGTTGATTGCTATGATATCAGGATACAAATTCTGGAATACTGAGTTCTTGCTCTGACATCTCGTCATGAGAAAAGTGTTTCTCTTGGTTGATCTGATGACCATCACTGTGTTTATTCAGGATTGGGAAGCTGTTCAGGACATGGAAATGTCAGAAAAGTTGCTTAACAGCCACATAAAGATTAGAATAACCAAGCAGAATTGAGTTGAGAAAGGGTCGGGATCTGGAAAGTTGGAAGAGAGCAGGTGTGAATGGGTGTGTCACAGTGTGAGTGAGTGTGTGACAGTGTGTGAGCCAGTGAGAGAGTATGTGGCAGTGTGAGTGTGAGACAGTGTGGATGTTACTGTGTGTGACAGTGTGAGTGTGAGACTGAGAGGGAGTGTGAGTGTGCAATTGAATGTGCAGCCGACAGTGTTAGTGACTGTATGAGTAACTGTGAGTGACCGTATGAGTGACAGTGTTTACGCATGTGACAGTGTGTGTGTGTGTGAGACTCTGCATGTGTGTGACATTGAGTGTGAGTGTGTGTGAGTGATGCAACTGAAGCAGTACTGCAGATCTTCTGAAATGCAGCATCTGCTGTTGTCTAGAGTTTTCCTTCTTCAGGACTTCTTTCCATTCCAAGTTTAGTTGCTCTTTTATTTTCTGACACTTTCTTTGTGGACAGTGAACTCTTCTGTCAGGAGGCGGAGTCCCCCAGGCCTTGTTTGCAAGAGGAGGAGGCAGCCTCTGGCAGTGAGCACTATGTGGGAGTGTGCTCTGTGAAGGAGGGCTTTGCACATCCTTCCCAGGGCCTAACCTTTCTTTGACAGAATTCGGGTAATTTTTAAGTTTCAGAATCCATTATTTTAGGAGTCTTATTCATAGGACTTATTTTTTAAATCTTCCCTTTTGTTTGTAACTGTCTAAAGGGGCAGGTAAATATGAGGGTTTTAGTTGTAGCTCTCAGAGAGGATGGCACTTGGTCTCTGCTTTTTGGTTCCTTCGCTCCCCAACCCCCCAGCTCCCCTTGTCCTTGTTCATGTCCTTTGACCCCCTATTTCATTTCCCTTGTCTCAGGCCTTGTCCTGCTCTGTGTATACTTCCTGCCATAGTGATGCTCTGCAGCTCCGGGCTGGAAATGCCACCCATTGCCAGAGTCTTTATTTCCACCCAGTCCTCCTACCTGGATCCACATTTGCACATTGTGTCAGCATTCAGATGTGCAGTAGATGTATCAGGTGTCTGAAATTGGACATCTGGTGTGTACGCTGCTCCCTCCCATTACTACTCCCTACACTTCTTTGTCTCACTTGGCAGCTCTGGTGCAGGTTGATTCTCACAACCTGTATCCAAGCCTCGACCTTCAAAACAGGCTGGTGGTTGCCTCATGCCATCTCCATCTGAGCCACAATTGTATCTCACTTAGATTATGTAATGGCCTTTCAGCACTTAGATTTTCTCTTTGCCCCTTGTCCTCCATTCAGCACCAATTGTGGTCCATTTAAAGCAAAGGTAAGATTATGTCACCCTTCTTAAAACCTGCTGTGTGACTCAGAGTCAAGCTCAGCAGACAGTGCTCCCATCTGAGGGTCTTTGCTGTCTGGAATGCTCTTGCCCTGGGTCCCCTAGTTGCTCCTCATCTCCTTCAAGTCGATCCTCCCCTTCTCAGTGAGGTTTGCCTAGGCCATGCAGGCCTCTGCCATCCTTTTCTACCCCAGATGCCTACCACTCTTGCCATCTCATCGGATTGCAGATCCAATGTGGCAGTCACTAGTTACGTGCAACCCTTTACATTTGCCACACTGTTCAAGCCCTCATAGTTGCACGTGGCTGGTTTATGGCTGTGGTGTTAGATACAGAACACGTCGTCATGGCAGAAAGGCCTGTCGTCTCTTTATGTTTTATTTGCTGGTAGAAATCCCCTAAAGCAGTGCTTGGCACAAAACTGGTGGTCATCATGCCTCTAAATGAGCGGATCACTGCCTTATTTAAAGGACTTAAAACATTTCAGTTCCCTTTCCAATTCACAAACACTTGCATTTAGCATTTTCTTTTTCAGTGCTTAGGTGCTGGGCCTGGCACCATAGTATTTCAGGTACCTTATTTTATCTAATTCTTGTAATAACTTTGTGTGTGTGTGTAAAATCATTGTCTTAAATATTAGGGAAACAAAGGGTCAGAGGCTTATCTCGGACACAAAACTGTCTTCATGGCAGACCAGAATTTGAACCCAGGGCAGCCAACATCCAGTTCCAGGCCTCAACAGGGCTCAGTTCCTCCCCATTCTGAGCTTGTGGTTAGGTGCAGAGTTCAGGTGAAATCAGCTGCTCACGAAGAGGAAATGTTATGCTGACTGCTGAGTTGTCTCGGCAACATGGACTGAGTTTAAGGATCAAGTTTTATTTAAAACGTTGGTTCGCTTGAGTTAAGATCTCAGATTTCAATAATAATAAAAAATTACTCATCCGAAAATACTGAAGTGAAGTTCAGTCTTAAGTTAGTTATGATGAAGGTCTACCTGTCACTTTTAGATTTTAGCCTGTGGCATTCAGATTGTGTGTGTGTAAAACAAAATCACATCCTGGAAACTACGGCACAGATGAGCTGGCTCTTTGTTATTGTGAGGGTGACATTGACATTACTCATTGATCTAATTAATTATCATTACTGATTAGTAATTAATAAAGCGATGATGGCAAATTCTTGATGAGCTTTTCTGGAGTGCCAGGTATCCTGCTGAAACCTTTACATGCATTCTCTAATCCTAACACAAATTCTTCATGGTAAGCACTGTTCAGTCATTTTTAAAGGAAATTCAGTTTCAGAGATGGCTAGGGAGTGACTGAGGGGAAAGGTGAACATGTTTCTTCTCTACAGGAAGCCTGTGTCCTCCAGAGAGGATGTGTTCATCACAACAGACGGAGAGATGAGGGAGTCACAGCAACTGAAGTGAAGGGGATGCGTGTTTATTTCCCCAGCAGCCTTCCCTGTTCTGAGTAGTTTGGGGAGCTGCCATCACATAGGGACACTTGACACTGGTTCCTGAGTGCCTCCTCAGATACTGTGACTTCATTGGTTTGCGGAATGGCCTGGATGCTGGGATTTTTAAAGGTTTTTTTGGATAATTCCAGCCCACACAGGGTTCAGAAGCAGAGGTGTGTGCCAGTGGTTCCCAAACAGTCTGCCCATTGGCACCCTGTGTGGAGCCTCAGAGACTACTGGTGCCTGTGCTCCTCCCCTTGTGGTTGTGACTCAGTTGGTCTGAGCTGCAGCCTGGAATTTGGGAGTTGTAGCATTTCCAGGCAGGCAGGGGGATGTGGGGGGAGGGCCCGTGGTTTATGCATTGCTTTATAGCCATGGTTGTTCATTAGAATCACTTGAGGGATTTTTTTTTTTTTTAAAGCAGTGTCTCATATACATATGAGCTGGCATGGAGCTCATGATCCTCCTGCCTCGGTCTTCCATCTGCTGGGGTTACAGGCATGCACCACATGTCCTTTCTGGGGTACATTAACCTGTCCATTGCCCTGGCCTGCACTGCTCTAGTGAAACACGGCCTTTGGAAGTGGGCCTCAGTGGCTGCAGGTTTGGACTCTTCAGGTGATTCCAGTGTGAAGCCAAAGGTGGAGCTACAAGTCTCTTCTCTTTCTCCCCTGTGTACCTTGGACCAACTACATTTAGTTTCCCAACTTCAGCTACTTGGGAAATGGCTTGTCTGGAAGGGCTTGCTCTTGGTAGATATACTGAGTTCGTTTCATGGGCCAGCATGAAGGAGTGCAGATAAGCAAATGGTAAGAAGTGATGTATCCTCCCTTCCAAATAGCTAGCTTACAAAGTTGGCCTTGCCTAATTGTTCTGATGTATAGTTTAATTAAAACTAAGGATGAGATTCTGTTTTGAGTTATTAATTCTAGAGTGCCATAGAGTGCCAGCCTAACAAGCATGAAGCCCCAAGTTCAAACCCCAGTACAGCCCAAAACAAACAAACAAAAAACCAAGAAAAGAAAAAGTTCTAGGTCTTCCTAACTTTCTTTTGTATTCTTAGGTATAAAAAATGAATTTTCCCTCTAAGTCAAAGAATGGGCCTTACTTGACCTGTTCTCTTCTCTGTCCTGCAGGAGTGCCCGGTGTCAGAGCGGAGCGCCTTGAGGAAGGAATGGAGGTGAAGCACTGTGCATTGTCCCTGGTAGGAGAACCAATCATGTACCCGGAGATCAACAGGTTCTTGAAGCTGCTCCATCAGTGTAAAATCTCCAGTTTTCTAGTCACAAACGCCCAGTTCCCCATGGAAATCAGGTGAGTCATCCCGCCTGTGAAGTCTGCTGCTTCAGTCTGCCAGACAGCCTCAGTGAGTTTGGGAAGGATTACTTACTTGCTATGTGTGATGCTGAGCTTTGGGAGGTAGATCTTCTTGCCCTTCAAGACCCATTCTATCAGGAAAGAGGACATCAGTGGAAAGAACAAAAGCGCGATGAATTGCTAGGGGAATTCAAAAGTGAAGGCAAAGCCAAGTGAGAAGCTGAGGCAAGAGGATCTCGAATACAGCCCAGCCAGGGCTGCATAGAGAGACTCTTGCCTTTAAAAAAAAAAAAAAAGAATGCAGTTGTTTTTTCTTCCCCCTTCACAGGTAAGGGTGTAGTTTGTGTGAATCACAGTGTGAGAGAGAGAGTAGCAGTTGGAAATCAAGTTGGCCAGTGTGGGAATAGATTATAGAGGACTTCCGATACTGTTGTGTAGAAAGAGCTTGCTTCTGGTATACCAAGTGTGCTTGTGGAGCTAAGAGGTACTGGGATGGAGGCAGACAGTGAGAGCGAGGTAAGATGGAAAGCTGATGTGTGGTTCTGAGAGACTGCAGAGAGGAGGGTTAAGTAATTACACTGGGGTTTCCCACATGCTGTGGCTAGGATTGTGGGCCGTACAGAAGAGGGATCAGGTAAGAAGAGGCCCGGCAGGGGAGTTCAATGAGGTTGATGTGGGTGACTTGGAGATGACCAGAGGCAAGTTTCTCCGATCTTGATCATGAGAGTTTTAAAATGGAAGGCTTCATTCTGAGGAATAGTCAAGAAGGAAGGCAGAAATGCTTAAGAAAGGAAAGGTCCTTTTCTATATTTCCTCACGGGTGCTAAGCAAGCACTCTACCATTGAGTACATCCCTGCTGGCCCTCTTTTTGGATAAGTATTTTTGAAGCTCCCATTTTTTAAGGTGCCATGATTTAAGAGAATGGGCACAGAAGTTCTGTTGTGTTCCTTCCTAAGTTACATCCTTTCAGCCAGGCACAGGAAGATTATGTAGAAAGTGCCATTCTAGGTTTTGGTATCCATGGATTTTTGCATTCACAGGGAGTCCTGGAGCCAATCCATCATGAATACATGAGGGTCACCTGTAGCAGAAAAAAACTTAAATATAAGAGTAATAAAGAGTTTCCAGTTTCAAACACTCTGGACCTTAGAGTCATGAAATAAGATAGTCCTGAGATTGCCTCTCCTTTTAAATGAATATTTTCATGATTTGAGGCCTTTCTGAGCTGAGCTAAAGGAGTCTTCCACACTTCCCCTGTGGCCCAAGAGAAAACAGGAAGAAAAATAGGTACAGATAGAGCTATCTATTTCTGTAGATTAGGAGGAATCTGAGTATCAGTTGTCTCTGGTATCTAACTTCCTTTCAGAAAAGCAAGGCCTCACATGATACAGAGGCATGAATTTTTGAAATTGGCCCTCTGTTTAGAGTGCCAATCTATATAGCGAGTTGGCTCGTTCAGGTCAGCTATTAGGTGAACCTCTTGCAGTGGTTTTATAAAAATTTTAATAGCGGGCTCTGGGTGGTTCGCTGAGTTTTTATTTATTTAAAATTAAGAACAAATGTGTCTTGTGCAATACTGCCCATACCCTTGGTATCTTTTGAAGAGAATCTTGGCTTTGTCAGTTAGTTTTCTCTTGACCCACAGGGAAGCATTACATTCAGCCTAGTACCTTTTCAGGACACTTAACTTTTTGTTGAAAGGGCTTCAGTCCCTGTCCAGTCCAAGGCTTACAGTTTTCACAGCTGGGTTCCCACACACAGTGTGTGGGCAATAGTCAGCAGTATACTAGTCCCTATGGCCAAGGCTGCAGTTTGGAAGCCAACACCTGAGACCAACAAGAAGTCTCTTGCTCTCCGAGAGCCTTCATAGCGCTGCTTGCTAAATCAGAGGTTTACTAGCTGGGCCTGTGGTGTGCACCCCTAATTCCAGCAATCTTTAATTCCAGTGCTCTGGAGTCTCAGGCAGGAGGATTAAGATTTCAGGGCCTGTGGGTTATGTAGTCACACTCTGTCTCAAGACAGAAACAAAAGAACATCTCCCAACCCAAAACAACAACAACAAAACAGAGGTTAATAAAAGTGGTGAGGGTGGCAATAATAATAATAATAGGGCTGATGGTGACTGGACATGGAAAAAGCCATTGCTCTTGAGGACAAGTCCTCCTAGATCCATCACCTGGGTGTTTCTATAATTTTGATCAGAATGTAGCTGATATACATTAGCATGCATCAGTTACCACTGACTGTAAGCTCTAGCTGTGTGTTTCAAACTAACCACCCTTTATTCGGCTCACAATTCTATGAATCAGCTGGGATAGCCTTTGGTCTTGGCCAGCTTTGCTGGGCTCAGCATTGCTTGTGCATCTAGTCATGTGGCAGATCATCTGGGTCTGGCTGGTTTGTGGTAGGTGTGGCTGGCACATCTGTGATCTCTATTCATGCATCCTCTTTTCCAGAAGGCCATTATGGACTTGGTCACAAGGTGGTAGGGTTTCTGAGAGCCGCTGTGGGAAGGTGCAAGCCCCACATTTGAGCCTCCCTTACATTTGCTTAGGTCCAGTGACAAAGGCAGGTCACAGTGCAGAGTGCAGAGTCAAGCAGGGAGCACTCAAAGCTTAGGGCAAGTAGGCATGGACTTGGGGAGGGGAGTAATTCATGGCTGTGAATGCAGCGTAAATATAACACAACAGATTGTACTTTTCAAGAAGTACAACCTTGGGCTTGGGTGTGCTCAGATGGTAGCATACCTGACTAGCACTGGCAAGCCTGAGTTCAAACTCCATTACTAAAAGAAAATTTTCCTTGCAAGCTTTCTCACACTGTTCTAACTGACCTAACTGGGGGCGACTGGAGATGCAGAAAGGACAGATGATAGAAGACAGACATGCGGAAAGTTGGGGCCAGGTATGCTAGGCGCTCGGATGGAGACGCACAGCAGCCTTCGTTTGCTTCTTTTCCTCTAATAATTTCTTCTTTCACTTTGCTTTCTTTTTCTTATTCTTTAAATCTTCCTTTCTAAAGTCTTTCTTTAAAAACCTTGCTTCTTTTCTAGTCTTTAAAGTCTCTGTCCCATGTTTTCGTTAGCTTTTCTTTCAGCATAATCTCTCTTAGAGTTTGTCCTCAGATTGCACTTGTCCGTCAGACTCGCACTGTCCATGTTTCCTTTAATCTCTGATAACTCAGCAGCAGCTGCGGCAGTGGCAGTCTTCACAAAGCAGCCCGTCGCCAGCTAATCAACCCATTCCCTCATCAAAAAACCTCAAGTCTCTTCAAGGAAGTCTTTTTGGAGTCTTTTTATATCATGGTAACAAGGAGGTGGAGCAACAGTTTCCTTGTGGAGGGGCGTGCATTGTAACAGGAGAAATCAGTGTTCCTAACTTCTCTGAACATAAAAACTTAAGAACGCAGCTGTGCTACAATTTGCCTCTCGTCTCCTTCTGTGGCTGGTGCCAAACTAGCCTGTAGATCATTGAGCACAATTATGCTTATGTCAAAGTTCTCATAGGCTTCTCATAACCACTCCCCACACAAAATAAAGTATAACCTTTGACTACTGGGCTCAGTATTTTCAGGAACTCAAAAGATGTATATAGTTTTTACTGTGGAATCCCAAGGCATGTATCAATTTAATCACTGAAGCCCAGAGGTGGCCACTGCACTAATGATCCCGGCACTTGGAGGCTGGAGGCAGATTGATGGAGAGTTACCAGGCCCATATCTCTGCCACCGACATTCTAGGCCACTGTTGAGACTGCTAAGACGCCAACCTCCCTCCCCACCTCATAGGTTTTGTTTGCCGCTGCATCAGGCTTTTTTGTTTTCTGCCTGCATCATGTTTAAATTGCACTTTTTTTTTTTTTTGAAGTAGCATTTAAAATCAAGAGGTTTTGCACAAAAGATCTGGATTTCAGCCTTGAAGAGAGGATAGTTCAATCAAATCCTGCCAGGAGCCCAACAGTGCCTTATCTTCTGCTTCTCACTAGAGCCCATCTTTTGTGTCTCCTCAGCCCCAGGTGACTGGTCAGCTCTGCACTTGTCAGGAATTCCTGCAGTGGATTTTTCTGATAGCACCAAAGTTGTCACCATTTCTAATAAGAGTGAAGTAATGAAGGCTGGGCCCAGAGTGCCATTGGAAAATGAAAGAAAGCAGATGGGTTTGAGTAGGGAAGAATATTCTTGTGTGTTTTCAATAGGCCACTGCATTTTTGCCACTACAAGAACTTCTCCTTGAAGTGGGCTTTGATGTGACTCACAATAGGCATGTGAATCACAAAGTCTGTTCTAGATGCAACGGTCTGGTGCTCACGTTTGGGCCCCTGCAGTCAGAGAGGAAGTATCACAGCCTTAATGCCTATAGACAACCACGGAGCTCTTCCTTACACTGCTCTGTGCTGCGAGGCAGAGACACTGTGGTAGGAGGCCAGGTCTGCCGAAAAGCACTCGTGTAAGGAAGGTGGTTCCACAACGTTGAAATGGGCTGCTTCCTTCAGAAGGAATCCAAGAGAACTGGGTTGTTCTTAAACAGATGGAGTTTTGAATCCTTTTTATGAGTGTGCTGGAGAGTTAAAAGTCACATTTACAGTTGCTTGTTACACTGACTCACTCCAGCATCATCTTTAATCACCTTTATTTTGATTTTATCAAAATTTTCTTATCTATTTTATTTTATATTTTTTTTGCAGTGCTTGGGATGGAACCCAGGGCCTCGCTCATGCTACCATGGAGCTCCATCCCAGCCTATTTTATATTATTTTAAAAATTTACATCTAAAACCTTGTCTTTTTGTTTTTTGTAAGTACTATCCTATATATGCAACGCTTTCTGGCTGTTAGAGGGTTATCAAAAAGAGATATTCATGTGCTGTTGACATGAAACATAGTGGTTATGAGTGTTACACTTCTACCCCACTTCCCCACTGATTTTTATTCCAGAGTACATCTACTTTTGAAGCACTCTCTTCACTGAAACCACGTTTGGACTCATTCCTCTTTCTCTG